CCCCGTGTCCCAGCATCCCGCTGGCAGGATCTGTCCCACTGCCTCCCTGCTCAGTCCATGTTGGCACTGGCCGACCTGGAGATATTCAGGGTCTGGGCAGAGATGGAGATGTCCTCGTGGTCCACAGGGCTGTGGTAGTCAGAGGTGATGTCAGGCTCGCAGGGGGGGACCTGGACAGCAGCCAGGCTGAAGGAGTTCACGGAGCCCTTGCGCAGGCACTGGGAGTAGAGGCCAAGCAGCAGGTCCAGCTTGTGCTCGATGGATTGTACCTGCAAGGGCGGGCAGGGCTGAGCGGGTCCCTCCCCACAGGGAGGGGACATGGGGGTCCCAGCTCCCCCATCCAACAAGCACCAAAGGGACAGTGACATCCTCCTCAGTGGCTGTCCCCTCCTGACCTGCCTCTCCACCTTGACCACACGCCCCATCATGCTGAGCTCGTCCACCAGCTCCGTCTCCAGCGCTGGCTTCTCCCCCTTCTCCCGCATCTTCTTGTCCCCAGGGAGGGTCCCCCTGCCCATGATCTGGTCCACGCTGGCAGGGAGGGAAGGGACACAGCCCATCACCCCCAGCAGAGCAGAGGGCATGTGAGACCATGAGGGATGGGGACAGGGCTCTGGGAACATGTCCCACCCATCGTGATGGGCCAGCACCCCTCCCAGCTGGCACAGCCAGTGGTGGGAGACCCAGGGGAGCCCAGAGCCCCCCACCACCTTCGGGGCAGCTCACCGCATCTGCAGGCTCTTGATCCTGCCCAGCATGTCCAGGTGGCCAGCCGAGTACTGCTCGATGACATCCTTGACATCGTAAGGACGCAAGGTCTCCTTGAACTTCCTCTTGGCCACCAGGAACTTCAGGATCCTGCAGGGACACCCGAGTTGGCTGCAGGACACTGGGGAGGACCAGGGGGCTCCATGCCAGGGGGACAAAGGTGGGATTATGCACAGCACCAAGGTCCCGAGTACTGCTCGATGACATCCTTGACATCGTAAGGACGCAAGGTCTCCTTGAACTTCCTCTTGGCCACCAGGAACTTCAGGATCCTGCAGGGACACCCGAGTTGGCTGCAGGACACTGGGGAGGACCAGGGGGCTCCATGCCAGGGGGACAAAGGTGGGATTATGCACAGCACCAAGGTCAACAGCACCAAGGTCCTGGCCACTGTCCCCATGGGGGGCTGAGCCAGGAGCCATCCCTGCTCCCTGCATGGCTTGGCCACCAGAGGTGGACCAGGGCTCTCTGGTTGTCCTCAAGGGCTGAGAGCTGCAGAGGAGCTGGGGATGGCAGCAGATA